CACATTGGACCCCACTGTACATACCAGTGCACTGCAGAGGGGTCCAAAAACCTCAGAACATTTTTACCATAAAGTTACAGACCTCAATTCTGTGTATATTAGATAAAATATTATATACTAAATAATAATAAAATAATAAGAAGAGTAAAATAATAAACAAACATTGTATTTATTTAAAAAAGACAAAAAGCTAAATAAATAAATAAAGTGAAAAAAATCTGATGGATATGGCGCCATCTATCGACACGTGAAAGACACTGAACATTGTGTTTGTGGTTGAAATATTGAACACTAGGGGACACACGAGTCCATCACATCACAGTCTCAAATATGTATTTTACTGCATTCCTCTTTGAGTCTTTTATCTGTTTTTTTATATATGTACATTAGTGTTTATTCTATTGATTGTGCCTTACGTTGTTGGATGTCCTGAGTTGTACAATTCGCAATGAAAAAAAAAGCCTCTTCGGAAATCAGTGTCTGTATTAATAAATAAAAGAATAATAATAATAAAGAATATAAAATATAGCAACATGCTCAATAAATTACCTCTATAATCAAATTAATAAAATAAAAATAAATGGCATATAACTTCTAAAAACGTCTTATAGACAAAGTAATAATGTATTATTATTATTATTAGCTATTATACATATAGGAATAAAAACTTCAATAAATATTGTACTTCGGTGAAAACTGTAGCTACCGTAGTATTTTGCATGGGGAAATAACAGGCTGCCATGGTTTCAACGAAAAGAAAGCCTACTTTAATTACAATATCGTTTTATTGTTTTCCAAGTGTACGCGCTCTTTGGTATGATCGGACGCACGCGTCGCCTGGCGTGCTCGGAAGACGTGCTGCGTCATTTCCGCTCTCCACAGAGAGCCAGGAGGGTGGGGACAAACAGCTGGTAAGTGATGCCGTGATCCGACCGCCTATCGGGCTGTTTTTCACACCGATAAACGCCTTTCCCGGAGCCACTACAGGTAGGACCTGAGTCCGTTAATGCCCGCCGCCCCGGAGAGGCCGCGAGCGCTTGTGTTTTGACGTGTTTGAGGTGTTTTTCAATCCGTGTCAACGAGAGATGCTAACGGCTAACTGAGATTAGCTCCATAAACACTGATGGTTTTTGTATAATCATTAGAAACGCCATTTCGGTGCTGTTAAAGGAGCGTAACGATAGCAGGAAAGCACTAAAGTGGTATTTCAGCGGTTGTGAAGAGGTTTTGGTTCGTTTGTATCGGTATTGAGCCGTTTAAATCTCATCAAATCTGCTGCAGTCTGACTCTGATATTAATTACTTCAATTAATGGCGTAATTAACTGCTCCCGGGGTCCCTAAATTACACTGGGGCTGGAGACCCTTCAACGCCCTGAAAAAGCAGCGATACGCTTCATTGTAGCCCTTTAACACCCTAATGACAGCCGACGGGTGTTATAGACGCCCAAACCCCTGGCAAGTGTCATTGGGAATGAATTAGTGTTTTTATGGGTGTCGAAAACTATTAGATTTGGGCTGAAATGGACAATCGTTCATATTATATCAATGCAAATATAATCATTCATCGTAATCAGGTCATCTCGGGCTCTTTAGTGGTAGTTTATCACCGGGTAACTGGTCCTAACTGCTAGTTTTGGTTGGGCTTGGTTTTGTTTTCGTTGGAATGAGTGTTTAGGAGATCACAGACTGGTTTATTTCAATGAATTGTGTGTGTCAGAGGATCTATCCGGGTGTCAGGAGGATCCAGGTTCCTGTAGTGGTTCTACTGGCTGTAGCTCTCAGAATATTTCAGGATATTTATACTCAACTGCACACCAATGTGTAACCCTGTACGTAGCTTAAATTACACTTTGCAGTGTGAAGTTAAATGTATTTGTCGCCCCGTAAATGAAAAAGTTTGCTGGAGCATTTCTGCTGTACTTTCATTGGATTGGATTTGGTTGTTTTTGGGGTTCTTCAGCAGTTGGTTTTGTTTCAGGACCCAGATTTTACATTGCATGTCAGCACAGAGCCAGATTTGGTAATCATCATGACCGAATGTTGAAATTTGTAATTATTATAATTTAGTTTATTCTTGTTTAATAAGTCAGAAGTACATCACATTTATATGAACATTGCTATACTATGTAGTACATTTCAAATGCCTGATTTATTTCATTGCAAAATATAATTATATTATATCCCTTATAGAGTTGGATATATGAGAATGTCCAACTTTTTCTGTACATACAGTATACTCGCATATGGTGATATACTATATAGAAATATATAGTATAATATATCTCAACTGCTTGATTGCTTGTATCGTTGCAAAATGTAATTTATCGTCCAGCTCTAATTTAGTAAATGCGTCGACTAAGACTTGAATATATTCAAATATAATAAACATGAACATCATGATTTTCTGCAAAGTTGATTTAAAGCAGTTTGTGTTAAAAGGGCCATACAAATAAATTTAACTTGGTCTATGCAAAGTATATTTTCATTGCAAGTGTGTAATGTAGTCTCATTTTATTTAGTGTTTTTTTTATGGTTAGTGTTTTTTTTATGGTTTAGTGTTTTTTTTTTTTACGTGTGCAAAATTTGCAACCTCAGGTCATCCAAGATGTAGATGAGTTTGTTTCTTCATCAGAATTGGAGAAATGTAGCATTGCATGCTATATTTCTCCAATCTCCAATCTATTCCCATGAAGAAACAAGCTCATCATGAAGGTGAGTAAATTTTCAGCAAATTCATTTTTCCGTGAACGATTCCTTTAAGGATGAGGGCATATAATGCAACCCGTCAGTGTTGACTTCTAATTTGACTATAGGTCCTGCCAAGTGATAGATGAGAAAAGATTCGATGTACATTTGATGTCAACAACTAAAGATATGTAAAGCATTTCTCCTCCTTTTTAAAAGTTGTCCCATTATATTATTTCCATTTAGTACCATTTTTTCCTGCTCTCTGAAACCTGTTACACACAAACATGTTACACATGCTGTATTTCTATGCAAACGTAAAAAACAGCATTTAACACTGCGTGATTGCGATCCTAATTATTAGTTTCCACATTCTTCACCCTGGATTCCGCAGAAGCCTGTGATTAGTTTGTTAGATGAATGTGAATAGGTCAGTTGCGCTCTATTCTGTGTGAACTTTTTATTGTGTTTTGCAACAAGGCTTTTGGTTGAACCCTCTTTTGAAAAGTGCTGCGAGCAGACGGCCGGCCCCTCTGAGCTATTGTAGCCCGACTCTCGAATGAGACTCGCTGGCAATGGCTTCTCTGAGTTCATGTGGAATGTATTTCCTGTTTGGGTCCCTTCACTTTGAGAATGAAAGAAAAAGCATGACTCGCTGCTTAATGGATGCTGCAGCAGTGCTAGTTATTTAAAGAAGTATTTTGATCATGATCGCCCGGAACGTTTCTTTTTTTTGTTTCTGACCTGTTGACAATGCAGGAATATTTTTATAGTCTGGGAGATTTTGCACTGTGCGTGAAATGGATTTGACCTATTTTTGTGGTCGGAAGGGTGGAAAGGAAATATTTTTGTGTTTGTGTGTTATCTATCGAAACAAAATAATTTAGAATCAAACCCGTGAGAATGATGCTTCTAGCATTTCAGTTTTGCATTTATTTACACAAGCGTTTTTTTTTTCTGGACTCCTTTTTAATGGTTAAATTAACTTTTATTAATCAAAAAGCATGTCTAATTAATTAAAATCATGAAACTTAAACAATTTAACATCAATTTATTAAAAGTTTAACAAAAATTACGTTTAGGGCCCTATGAAATGAAATTTTTCCAAATTCTGATTTAGCATGTCTAATTATTTGAAAGCATAAAAACAAGTTTCATTTATTCTTACAATAGCCTTATGATTTTTTGCTCAGAAATTCTGTGTTGTGTATTTACATTTTTAAGGCATAAAATATTAATTTAATCTATCTTTTAAGTAATGAAAATTAAACACATTTAATGTTTTGGAAAATAAAGGTAATTTAATATTGCAATTAAAACATTGAAGAAATATTGTATGATTATTCCTTAAAAATAAGGTTTTAATAATTTTAGTAGTAGTAGTAGCAGCCTATTACGTACATTCTACTGAACAATAGTAATATATTTCTGCTCAATGCCTTCAAGTTAAACCGAACTTTTATTTTGACGGGTTGCTGTGAATACCTTTACATTTCTGTGTGTATATGATATGAGGATAGTTTTACTCAAATGAAACGGTCAAATGCTCATGAAGTGACTCTCAGGGCAGTTCTGGAGATGTTGTTCATGTATTTATGTCCTCATTTAGTGAGACGGCAGACGCTAAAATCACCGCGAGCGTCACGCTCACTTCAGTAACGTTACGAGTGGTAAACAAAACCGCCCGTCTGCGCCAATCATTGACACAGAGACACGCATAATTAATATTTAAATATGAATAATTTTGTGGCTTAATATTTACAAATACTAGTGGGAGTGTGCTCACTTGTGTGTATGTGTGTGTGTGCGCGCGCGCATCGGGGCGAAACTCTGCTGTGCGCGATGCAGAGAGCGCGACCATAACGTAGAGGCCGAAATGACATGCCGTCATGTAAATAAGATAAATGACATAAGGCTATTTAGTTTGTTTAATAAAAGAACAAGGTATAGACATGTTCTATCGGAAAGGTAACTTTAAATGACTTCTGTTGTGATCTGGCGCTATAGAGAAAATATAATTAAATAAAATTAACTTGACCTTCAAGCGGGGCGGAGGGTGCCGTTGGGGGGGCGGGCCGCCCCCCTAAACTAATGGCAGGGGAAACACTGCAAATTAATTTATGCAGGTCTTAAAGTCTTAAATTTGAGCCAAAAGTCTTAAATTCATAGTCGTGGCTTTAAATGTTGAATCAAAAAATGATTTTATTCCTCAGTATTTTTGTCTTCTTTTAACATGATTGAACATCCTTAAAACACATTTACTAAAAATGAATATATTAAGTCTTGTTTTCAAAGAAATTGGACAAAATTAAGTGAGGTTATGCTTGACACAAGAACAAATATCTGTCAATGAGGTATAAAAAAACCTTTTTATCTTTGAATTTTAATTATAAACTCACTTCATTTTGATCAGTTTCTCAGAAAACAAGACTTTTTATCTCATTTTGCTCCACAAGTAGCTGTAGCGTGATTAAATAAGAATCAAGATACCAAGACAAAAACACTGTGGATGGACAGCAGCTTTTGATATATTAAAAGTTTTATCCAAAAAAGTAATAAAGATCTGTTTGAAGTTGCATTTGCAAACTTTGAAGTGATGCTAATAGAACTCAGTTTGTGCTTCTTAGACATTTAGAGAACATTCTGATGAACTGTTTCCTTCAATTTATTACTTACTTGATCTTTAAAAGATCTTAAATGTACTTTCATAAAACCTGCAGAATCCCAGTATTGGCATTTCTGTATGTTTATATATGTTATGCATCCTTGATCTTTAAAAGATCTTAAATGTACTTTCATAAAACCCGCAGAATCCCAGTATTGGCATTTCTGTATGTTTATGTATGTTATGCATCCTCCTGTGAAACACAATCATGTCTGTTTCTTTATTTGACCAGCGTTTGGAATATGAGCAGCGGTGTTGGCTAATACTGTTGCTATGGAAATAATGCTCAGGTCATCCGTGAGTGGCCAAACGTGCTGTTTCATGAAGTTTCAGTTCTCTTTCTCAGAATAATTCTTTATGACTTTGTGCAACATATAGCGATGTTTGCTCTTATGACAGTCTGTGAATGTAGAATTGGTTTTCTTCGCTTTCTAGCTCAGTTCAGATGGACGTTTCAAGGTTGCATGCATTTCGGTTTGGATACATGTGAGGTCTGTGTGTGTGTGTGTGTGTGTGTGCTGCTGGCCGGGCCGGCGGGCTGAAAGATATCCCCCTAACAAAGCATTCCAGTGTTGTTGGGAATATGCTGCATTCTCTTGCTGACTGCTATTGCAGTTTAGAATGTCACAATGGAAT